GTTGGATATTGGAAGACAACTCCAGTTCATTTATTAAGATCTTATGCCCTGCAGTTGCTTTATTTTGGGTATAGATATAAAACATTTTATGATAATTCATTGCCTAAAGAATAAAGTTCCAAATCTCAAATTCTCAAGAATCCGGTTGAATTTCTTCAGTCTCATTTCTTGCATCTCCTCCCTGTGTGACTTAGGTCCACATCACACGGTACTCATCTCAATTCCTCCCACATGATATGCATTTATACTCTGAACTTTCATTTCTCTCTGCTTTATTCAGGATATTTTTATCTATATGAAATTCAAAGTTCTTTTTCTGGCTGATCATTCTGTATAGGCTTATACAATGTCACAGTCTTCACTAAGTTCTTCACATTCCTCTGTTTTAATTCTGTCTGTATTATTCATATTTTTGCTTTTGTATGCTCCATTGCCCAAATCAAGTCATCTGGCTAAGCCTGATCTCAACAGGGAGATTAAATATAATCTTTTCCCAGTAAGGTCATTAAATATCTGTGAACAAAAAGCCACTCTAGAAAAGTCTGTCCTTTGGGCTATAATTATTTTAAGTCTCCCTTTTATATTCAGGTCTCACTTTTCTTTTCTCAAAATATACTCACCACTAGAGAGAACCTAAAAGTCCTACAGGTCATTATTTCCAATCCAAAGTCTAAAATCTATGAATAAATCAATCTCTTTCTCTCTCTCTCTCTCCTTCCCTCCCTTTCTTTTTCCCCCCTTCCCTTCCCTTCTTTTCCCTTTTTTTCTTTTCCTCAAGCATGATAATTAAGAGCTCTAGCACTGAACTGCACCCTAGTAGTTTCTATATTTGTTACAGGTCTCTGATACGGAGGTCTATGAAGTACTAAAGACTTCATTTGCCCTATGGCATTCAAAATACAAAGGTAGAACACAGACTGGATAACTACAATGAATCATCCTATTCAGAAAAGACACACTGGTCTTGAAGTTTCATTGGGTAGAGGTGATTTATAACTGAAGACAGGATACTCCCTATTTAGGACTATTTGGAGATTATTTCCTTCTAGGGAGAACATTAGAGAATAGGACCTCCTTGGAAGATAAGCACATCTTTTTATCTGCTTCTTACCCCCAGAATATTGGGGAGCCTAGATATCATTTCACTTCTCAAATACTCAGTATCTTTAATCTAAAGCTAATAGCTCTTTTACCAGTATGTGATCTATTTCTATTTAATTCCAGTCATCAATGGCCAAATCCACAATTCTTTTTGAAGCATACTATGTTGCAGTAACGAACTACTAAGCATACGTTTGATGACTTAGAGGGATACAGGTTTATTTCTCATTTTCAATACATGTCCACTGCAGGCCAACAATGGTCCTGTTCCAAGCAGTTCTTACTCTGACACTCACACTAATAAGAGCATCCACTATCTAGAATATTGCTAATCATGTGGCAGAGGGAACTTGGTACATGCAGGCTCTGAAAGCTTTTGCTTATGCATGCCATGTTACTTTTCATATCTCACTTACTAATAAAGCAAGTCATCTAACCAAGCCTAATAATACTAATGAGGCAAATAAATAATATCTCCTACCAGGGAGAGGAAGTAAGTATTTTTATAGAATAGAATCTAGCACACATATCATTCCTACTTCTGAAGCTCACATTGAATTTTGCAACATCTCCTCTACCATAACTCCTTCTAGAGTCACCTCTATTTTACCCAACCCAATATAGGTAACATACTCTTTCCCCTAACTTCAGTGTGCAAAATTCAGACTTTTACAATTTGATGTGCTGGTTAATATTTGGTGGAACTTTTATTTTGTAGCTCTTTTTTGCTAACATTTCCAAAGGCATTATTTGGCAACTCATAGTATTGCTACCTACAGAAATGAGGTCAATGACAAAAAAGTAAGTTATTGGATCTTACTCACTTCCAAGTACTTTCTATGTCTTTTTGGGCCTTTTTTCCTTTTTTGGCAGTACTGAGGTTTGAACTCAGGGTCAAAGGCAGGCACTCTACCACTTGAGCTACTCTGCCAGCCCTGTTTTGTGTTGAATTTTTTCAAGATAGTGTCTCCAAACTTTTTTGCCAGGGCTGGCTTTGAACTGTGATCCTCCTGATCTCTGCCTCCCAAGTAGCTAGGATTACATGCACCACTGGTGCTTGGCTTGTGCTAATTTTTTTTAACATAGCCATATTTCTTACTGTAGTCTATACAACATACCAGGGAGATCTTTAGTACCTATCTGATCTCATTTTTCTCTTACTTTATTTTGGTTCAGCCACATCAGCCTCCTTTGGGTACATTTAAAAAAATTGTTATTGCTTTATAAAATCTAAAAGCCATTTCTCTTGCCAATTAGAATGTTCTTCCCTAGATCTTTACCAAGTTATCTCCTTCTTTTCTTTTAAGGTTTCAACTCAAATACCTTCAAAGGGCTCTTTCCTTATCCACTCTAACTAAAGCAAATTTTTCTCCTCCACCCTTCCCATGCCATTTTTCTCTTATTTTTCTATTTTACTAGCTTATCTATCACTATTTAAAATTATTTTTATTTATTGTTTGTCTTCCCCCAAAAGCATGTAAGGTCTGATAAGACAGAATAATTTCCTTCTTCACTGCTGTATTCTTAGTGGCTAAAACAGTGCCTGGCACAAAGTAGGTACTTAATACTAGGTTTGCTGAACAATGGTGCCACCCATGGAACTTGCCACCCTGTTGGCCTGCCAGTTGACCCCACATTTCAATATGTGGTTGCCTGGAAAAAGACAACAGTCTTCATAAGCTTTATGACACATCATGTTAATAGTCATCATCTATTTTTTTTCTTACCTGCTGATCATACTTTCTCTCCCAAGTATTTCATGTTGAATTACCTCAGCTCCAAGTCCTTTTAGTCTTTTCTCACTCAACCTTCCCATTCAGTGACATGGCTTATTTCCCACCAGTAAATGGATTCCTAAATTTATTCTTCCAGTCTAGATTCCTTTTCTGCCCTATTGAAATTCACTTGGGTCTTACATAGACATTTATCATTCTCTGGTTTCTTATTTCAATCATTGGCATAAATATCCACACATTTGGTCACAACTCAACTTCTGAAATTATTCTTAACACCTCCTTTCTTCCCATATTCAACCAACCACCAAGTCCTGTTGGTGAAACCTCTTAATAACTGCAAGCTTTTTTTTTCTTTTTCCATTATTACTTTCCCTATATTAGTCCAGGCTACTATTCTCTCTCACATGGACTATTGCAATGGCCTCTTTGCAGGTCCCTCACCCTTCATGGTTGTCCTCTCTATCCATTCCTTATAGACAAAGCAAAACCTCAGAATCTTCTTTTTGGTGAACTTCCAAAGTTCTGAGTGTAAAGCCTTGTGTAAGTGGCATTGATGCAGATCTGGTCCCCACTTTGCCCTTCCTCTTCAAGCTCCAGCCATGCTAGACTTCCAGCTCCACAGTTCGCCCAAGCTTGAGACCTTCATGTGGGAGACCAGTAACTAAATAGACTGAGAAGAAACTTTTACATGAGCATGGCCATGTCAAGGTCCTTTGTGCTGAGAAGGCAAGACCCCAGCATGAAGGAAGTGAGCAAGGTTCAGCAAGGCTGCCTTGCAAGAGGGGAGACTGAGGCAGTGGAAATAGACTTTGACATGAGCACAGCTCTGTCAAGGGCCTCTTGGCTGATAGGCATGGACCCAGCCAAGGGGAGGCAAGGTTCAGCAAGAAAAACAGGATGTGCTGACCTAGTCCGGATAGTCTGTACTAAATAACAACATACCACAGCTGCACTGTTCCTGCCACCTATGAGACTGGACCTATGAGATCCCAACCTGCATTGCACCCCACTTTCTCACACATGCTGTATAAATAAATGCGCTTGGAAGCCTCCGGCATCTCTCATCAGGAGTGTCGGACCCTCCCAATCCCGGCTTTTCCCTATGTCTGTCTTTGTGTCATTTTCTTAATCCCCAGTCACTCCCAGTCAGGTCAAGGGACTTGCTCACGCTGGCGTGAGACTTCAGGTAAGTTATGTCTGCTCCATACACCTGCATCTGCCATCTTCACTCGGTTATTGCCTACTCCTCTTTCTTTTTCGGAGGAGCTTCCTACTCTTCCTGCTCCCCATTACTTGCTTGATCAAGCTACTTAGGGGACTCCAGGAGATCAAACTGTCTGCTGTAACTCCAAGCACCCCATGAAGACTGTTCCAGGTAAGACTTTGGGGTTAAAAATAATAAATGAAAATTGAGTTAGGGTAGTGGAAACTGTTATCTGTAAGAACAGGACCAGCAAAAACATTTTAGGAATGCATTTTCTGGACCAAAAAAAGGGGATAGTGGCAAGCTGCAAAGTCTTTGTGGTGATGCACATTAAACAAAGGGCCAAGATCCGAGGGTTTAGAGATTACACTGAAGCGAGATTACACTACCGCCATATTTAAGTCATTTACAAGTTCTTAACTTCTGCCTGTAAGCGACTGTCTAAAACAGGAAGCAGCTGCTGTCTTAAACCGCAGCTGGTGACCTTAGCAGCTGGAGATCCGACCTACCCTCCAAGCGCCTGGCGCTGAGCGTCCAGAGGCGCCGCGCCGCTCCCTCGGCGGCTGTCAGGGCCGCCCAGCGCGCGCCCGGCACGCGCGCCCCCAAGCGCGTCGGCGCGCAACCCCGACTCCCAGGCGCCGCGCCAGAGGCCCTCTCAGCTGAACCAGCCGCCCGCTAGCCAGTCGACCCGACTTCGCAACTCGTGGCCGCCTGGAAAAGTGCCTGTTTGGCCCATCGAAGAGTTCTAGTTTCGACGCCAAAAGTTACCAGACAGAAATATGCACAGTATGGAAATGAAGAATGTTTCGCCTTGGAATGGAATGGTGACGGTCGGCCTAGGTTAGGGTGGGTGCGTGAGGAGTTTGATTAAAACAGGCAGTATTTGGGACAGCTGTATCCGGGCCCTCCTGCCGCCGGCTCTCCTCCGAGCCAGGGGTCCTTCAGGTAGGAGGGGCTGGGTGACTTTGGACGTCCGCACAGGCTGGTAGTAGAGGGTGTTTAGTCTCTGGCCTGATAAGAGTATTCTAGCTTTTCGGACCACAGACCTTTGCTGCAAACATGCTCCGCCAGATCGTCAGCCAGGCTAAGAAACATCCGAGTGTAAGTTCGTGACTCCCTTCCTTTCTCCGCATTCACGGTGGTCTCTCCCCCGGAAGCGTCCTCCCAGCGCCTGTCTGTCCTTTGGGGTAGACCCTTCCTCGCCTCCACTTGTTCTGGTTGACCCAGGCCCTGGAGCGTTGTAGGGTTTGGCTGGCCGGCCGAAGGTCCTCACCTACATAGGTAGCGTTGGTTGTTCCGAGAGGGATGGATGTACACTGAGTCGTTAGAGTAACCAAGGTCAGGCTCCCTACTTGTTAAGCTGCTTGGAGAATGTTGTATTCACTGCATTGCACCACCAGGCCTTCAGCAATGTAAGGGGTCCTTGATGTTGGACTCCTCACTTCGTCCAGATGCCTTGATATTTGGGGAATTTGGTAGTGCAGAATTTCATTGCATTTGTGTTTTTTTGATGTCTCATTTTCCCCCCAGCACCAAAATCGTGCTGTGGACCTCAAGTATAGGGCCTTTAATCTTTGTCTTAAGCCCAGTTCTTTAAATACTTAGCAAGAATTAGTAGCAGTGCGCTTCCGGAGTTTATGCTTAACGTCAGTATTTGTAATAGACGTGTTTCTCTGCTAATTCCGAGTCGCTTCACAGAGCTTTTCATACATCTGTTGGGTGACACACAAGTACTTTCCAAAGAGATTCTTTCCACCCCCGAGTCTTGACATAAAAGAAGGCAGGAAATTTAATGGGAATGATGTATGAATGTTAGAGAGTTGAATAAGACTTGGTAGATTCTGTTTGAAGTTTTAAAATGTATGTATTATTTGCTCCATATTAAGAAATAAGATACTTAAGCCAAAATCATTTGCAAATTACAGAACAGTTCTTACTTCCATCTAGGGTTACCTTTATCTTAATTTTAAGATAAATTAGCAAAATAGCTGTTTTGAGAATTGGAAATTAGTGTGTTGAAAATATTTCTTTGGTTAATGTCAAGGAATTTTAAGATGGCTATTAATTTCTTGTCTATCTTATGTTTGGTTCTAGTTGATCCCCCTCTTCGTGTTTATTGGCGCTGGAGGTACAGGAGCAGCACTGTATATGATGCGTCTGGCATTGTTCAATCCAGATGTCAGGTAAGTGGTTAGAAATGTTTAAAAGCTTTGATCTGTCAGGCAGGTTTAGGAGACTGTCTTTCTAGGGGAGTTAATATTACATAGTAGCAGGAACCTGACTTTTATAGCCATACAGTAAGTTCAGACCCCTGTACTGGTGTTGTTTATTTTTTCTGGTTCACAAAATTGTCTAATTTTCCTGAGTTTCATTTTCTTACTGATAAAGAAGAATTCCTAATACAACATTTTATAATAGTTTGAGGATTAAGATAATAATTGTTTCTATGAAATACTGAATCATGTTTCCTGGCACATGAGAATTTTTTTTAATCTAGTATTCCACAATAGGTAATATTTCCTTTTGCAGTTGAAAAACAATAAGCAAAGAAAAACTTGATTCAGCATTATTTGATACACTTACATATATCACTTTATAACAATAAAATGGAAAGCTTTAGTAGAAGCCAAGGAATAGAGACTAGGACAACTACCCCAAAATGTTCTGTCTTCTGCTCTTTTTTTTTTCTTTTTAAACTAATTGATTGCATGGGGTTGTTTACAGATTATATCCCTGTTTCAATTAACTTCATAATGAGAATAATAACACACTCTACCTAATGGAAAACAGATTGATCTATTCAAAATGTTACCTTAGGAAATAGAAAACACTCTTTTAAATAGTGCTTTGTTACTATAGCAATTATGATGTTTTGTTCATTTTAGTTGGGACAGGAAGAATAACCCAGAACCCTGGAACAAAGTGGGTCCCAATGAGCAATACAAGGTAAGTGCAAAATTGACTCAAAATTGCTGTAAAGTTATTGCAATAAATTTGGCTGTGGAATATTTTTCTTTGAAATGGGATATACAATTAAAATCCCTTATAAAGGATTTTTGAAGACCTGCTAGATTGTTCTGTAAAATCAAAATGGAATATTATAATGAATAGTCTTTAACTCTGGATGTGATTTAAGATAATCTTTCAACTTTACTGTTTTTACTAAGATTAAGAGGAAAGATAGGAGAGTTTATTTTTTGTGGTGTTGGGGTTTGAACTCAGGACCTCACACTTGCTAGGCATGTACTCTTAGCACTTAAGCCACACTAGTCCTTTTTTGTGAAGGGTTTCTTTTCAAGATAGGGTCTTAAGAACTATTTGCCTGGGGCTGGCATCATGATCTCTGCCTCCTGAGTAGTTGGGATTACAGGTGTGAGCCAGTGGCGCCCAGCAGGAGAGATGTTCATTTTCTTAGTTCTTAGATAGTCTAGCTAGTGGTTCTCATTCATTGTATATACAGATTGTTAAAATAGTCTCTTCTAACCCCAGGGATTCTGATTCATTTGGTAGGTATGGGGATGGAGAATTTGCATTTCTAACAAGGTTTGGTTGACTGTTTTTTCTTATTGGTATGGTCGAAATATTTTAGATAAGGATTAATAGGAAGAAATGAGAGTCACTTGAAAGTTACACTTTGCTATGAACATCTTAGATAAGCTTGTTAATATTTATTCTCAAGGAACGGTCTATGTAATTGATCTAGGAAGGTGGAAAGATGAAGAGTCATGTCATATGATTGCATAAATGAAAAGAAACTAAATCTAGGAATGTGTAAGCCAGGAGTGAGTGAAGCCAAGTTTACTGTGTCTAAACTCAAACAATGAAAGAGACTAGATTCACTGTCTCTTACTGAAGAGAATTTTTTTTTCTGGCCCACTAACATCAATTTGGCTATATGACTTTCTCTGCAAATCATGAGAAGGGGGAAGTGATCCCTGCCACTTTTGAACTATTATGTGATTCCTTCATTGTTCTTTTCCATCTCTCTTAAGACCAAAATTGACGGGAAGGTAAGCCTATGTTTGGAAAGAAGAGAACATGGAGCAGTCAACTTTCAAAGGGCATGTAATATGAGTAAAAAATAAATTTTTATTGTAAGCCACCAAAATTGAGGTGGCTATGACAAGATACCGTAGAACAGGTGGTTTAAACACTGGAAATTTGTTTCTTACAGTTCTGGAGGCTGGGAAATCTAAGATCAAGGTACCAGCCAATTGTGTTCCTATGAAGGGTCTCTTTTTAGAGGTGGAGAAAGATGGAGCAATCTCATGTTTTGTATAAAGGAAATGATCTAATCACAAAGGCTCCACCCTTATGACCTAATTACCCTCAAAGGCCCAATGTATAAATATCACGTTGGGGATTAGGATTTGCATATATGAGTTTCAGGAAATATTCAGTTCACAACAGAGGAGGTTTTTTGTTCTTGTTTTTTTTTAACTGACAAATAGCCGCTAAAGCTAATAAAAACAATAAGAGATAATGAAAATAGGGTTTAAACATTAAAGGCCCAGCAACACATGGGTGAATAAAATGCTGTAGAGCCAAGATCAGAGATTTTTATTCTAGAGACTCTCAAGATATCCATAATTAGGTTGAGAAAAAGAATAGGAGCATGGAATCAGACAGTAAAGCAGATTTGAAAGTTACTTCTAGAGTGAATTTTAGGTATGTTGCAAATACATCAGAAGCCTGCTTAGTTTTGAGAAAAATTGACGATATCAGAGCAGTCCACTCTGCATTGGGGCTTGATTCTGCTTTTTATTCAGTGTTAGTGAGTCATAAAACTTGATCTTCGTTGGCTTTTAGTTGTAGTGATTAAGATAAACATTCAAGCTAGGCATCTGTGTCTCACACCTATAATCTTAGCTAAGTGGGATGCAGAGATCAGGAGGATTGTGGTTCAAGGCCAACTTGGCAAATAATTCTAGAGACCCTATCTCAAAAATTCTCAAAAATACCTAACACGAAAAAAGGCTGGTGAAGTAGCTCAAGTGGTAGAGCACCTACTTAGCAAGCACAACTGCCTGAATTCAAGCCCTGGTACCACTAAAAAAAAAAGATAAACATGTAGTGTCTATTAATGCCTGGCATCTGTTAGAAGACCCTAACAAGTGTTTATTTTCTTCTCATTATCATAAACCTGCATGCACTTCTGTAAATATTCTTTCTGATATATGTTAACATATTAGAGAAGAGCAGAATTTCTTTTTTAAATGTCTCATTGTCTAGGTTAATTGTTTCTTAAGGCTGTCAGAACAAAAAACACCACTGCTTTATGGCTTATTCATAATTTTCTGTTCATTATGATTTAGGGTGTATCTGTGTGTATATATCTCTAGGATAACTTGGTAATAAGTTTTACAACTTGGAGATTTTTCTTTTTAAGAGTTTGTGAGCCAGAGGTAAACAGGTAAGAGTATGCTTGAAGAAATAATGGAAAAAGATTTTGCAAACTTTTTTTTGTGTTGCTGGGGATCAAAACCCAGAGCCTAACACATGCTAGGCAAGTGCTGTGCCACTAAAGAAAATATTTGTGATGCTTCTATAGTTTGAATTCTTTTGTAGATAAATTATGTAGTCTTCAAGTAACAATAGTACAACCTCTTTGCACAACCTAAGATTATAGACTTATTTGGATTTATGTGCAAATCCTAATTTCTTTTTTTCAGTAGAAATTCTGGACCAGTTTCAAATACAGCTTTTTTTTTTTTTTTTTTTTGTGGTACTGGGGCTTGAACTCAGGGCCTTCACCTTGAGCCACTCCATCAGCCCTTTTTTGTGAAGGATATTTTTAAGATAGGTTCTCAAGAACTATTTGCCTGGCCTGGCTTCAAATTGTGATCCTCCTGATCTCTGCCTCCTGGGTAGCTAGGATTGCAGGTGTGAGCCACCAGCGTACGGCTCAAATATAGCATTTTTGAAAAGTTATTGGAAGTTAGGTTGGTTTTTTTTAAATGTAATCACAGTAAAAATTTATTTCTAAAGTTAATTTTAACTTAATATAAGGAAATTTGAGGAAATTTTAAATGTGCAAAAATGAAGTATTATTTAAAATCTTATCACCAGAAGTGATTGTGTCAGTTTGACATTGATATAATCTGGGTTGGGAAATTAAGAAAACCTCTGTGAGAGATAGAAAATAGAAAAGCCACTGTTGCAAACCAGTTTATGTCTTAAGTGTTGCATATACCAAACAAAACATTAATTACTTGCTTCGCTGGTAGATCTTTCCCATTAAATTATACCATTTAGCCAAGTAGGAATGGCAGTTGTCCATCTTTCTGTATTCTACTGGAGGTTCTCCCATGTGCTTAATGGAGATGAAGTAAAAACCTACAGAATTGGAAGTAGAAGTACATATGACAAGGGATTCTTACTCATTTTGAATAAGTATTTTTTTGTAGGTTGTAACTAGCAGTATACAAATATTGCTCTTCTGAGACAGATTGAATATTTTTACCTTGCCAAAACCATCATTAAAGACCTGGAGTTTTATTTTTATTTTTTTAATTTTATTTTATCATTTTAGATACGTAGTATCTTCCTGTGAATGAGTTTTAATTTTTATTTCTTTTTTTGATGGTACTGGGGTTTGAATTCAGGAACTTGCACTTGGTAGGTAGGTGTTCTATCACTTCCTTTTTGCTTAGTTATTTTTTTAATATGGTCTTGTGTTTAGGCTGGGTCAGCCTCTAACTGCTTTCTCTGGTCTCTACCACCTAAGAAGCTAGGATTACAGGTGTGAGTCACTTCCTTTGTCTGGTGGATTTTACATGGTTAGTTTTTTTTTTTTTTCCTGTAGTACTGGGGTTTGAACTCAGGGCCCCACATTTCCTAGGCAGGCACTCTACTAGCTTGAGCTACTCTGTCAGGCCAGGTATTCTTAATGAATCCATTTCTGTAATTGCTACTACAGAAAATTGAATGAAAAGAACCCTAAAACTTCTGTCATCTTTCTACATTTAATAGATTATCTAAAATATTTTTCTTTTCCAAGTTCTACTCAGTGAATGTGGACTACAGCAAACTGAAGAAAGAAGGCCCAGACTTCTAAGTCAAATGCCTCACTATAAAGCTGCTTAAAATGAAGGTCTTTCAGAAGCCATCCGCACAATTTTCCACAGAAACAGGAAATATTTCTCCTCTGAATGCATGATATCATGTTCATTTGTTGGATTTATTACACTGAATAATAAATCTCTGAAACTTGATGTGTGTCACTGATTAATGCTAAAAGTCTGCTCTGAACTTTATAATGAGGATGTGGAAAATAAATTTAGAATTTATAGAATTTCTGTAATTTCCTTGTATTTGTGTAATTGAAAATGAAACTTTAAGCTGCTTAAATAAAACTTTGATTTTGTGTGCAGGCCATTGGTCACTTCACTAGAGCATTTAACAACTGGAACTGGGTTATATGAAGAGGAGTTGGGAAGAATATTGAAGTTTCTGTGACACTGGCAAAATGGAAACCTCTGGATCTTTGTTGAAGTGCATGCAGTTGTTAACAGTGTATTTTACATTGCCATTCTCTTTGCTGAAGTTATTCTGGTACCATGGTTATAGTTGAATCTGAGTCTATCATTGTTAATCATGGAGCTAGTAGTCTAGAGAAATTGAGAATTTCTGCTGCTGAGTCTTGCATGTTTTCAAAGTCTGGGAGGCCCATCAGCGATTTTAAGGTAGGGGAAATGAGAGAGTGACCTTTTTAAAAATGGTCTATGGAATTAAATTGGAAAAATAGTAAACGTATATTATGTTTTTACCTGTTACATAGCTCAGCTCCTTTGGCTAGTCAGATGATCTGATGAGCAGAACATTTCAGTGGTGACTAATTAAGAACCATATTTTCTTTTCTTTTTAAAGTATAAAGCAGAGAGTTTACTAAGATAGAATAGTATAAAGTGGGAGAGTAGAGGCTCCAGAGTTGGGGGGAGGGTTGCCAAAAGAGGGTGCCCCAAGAACCATATTTTCTATATGAGGTTTTTATATAGGTATATATGTAAGTTCTATCAGAAACTTGAGGAATTTAGTGAGATAATTGTGACTTTAACTTAAATATATATAACTATTGTTTATAAGGTAGGGAGCTCATTTAACATCAGGAACTGAACTAAGCATTTGAATTACATATGCATCACTGAAATAATATATTTAAACAGAGGAGGAAATTAAGACTTGGATTAAATTACTAAAATTCTAGTCAAGTGGTGAATATTGAGTCTGTGTAGTCTGCATTTTTTTGTCACACAGTAGGTTAGGGCTTTACCACTATTGACTTTCAGCCAATTCATTTTAGTGTGCGTATGGTCCTGTGCATTGTAGCATGTTTGGCACTGATCCTGGGCTCTACCACTAAAGGTCAATAGCACTTCTTTTCCCTGTCCTCTGCCAGGTTGTACAAAGCAAAAAATGGTTCCAGATATCACCAGATGTCCCTTGGTGAGTAAAACTAGCTAATTCCTCTTTTTTTGGTGATACTGGGGTTTGAGCTCAGGGCCTCACACTTGCTAGGCAGGTACTCTACTACTTAAGCCACTCTGGTAGCCCTTTTTTGTGTTGGGTTTTTTCCAGATAGAGTCTCATGAACTATTTCCCCAGGCTGGCTTTGAACTGAGACCCTCCTGATCTCTGCCTCCTGTGTAGCTAGGATTACATACATGAGCCTCCAGTACCTGGCCATTTCTCCCACTCTTGAAGATTAGCCACTTTAGTACAAATCACTAACTTCAAAGCCTTAAATTGTGTAAAGCAGTGGCCTTAGTTACATGTAGTAAAGTAGATGAAAAACAACATTTCTAAATAAATGCAATAGTAATGATGATTCTGCTGATCCTTAATAATTCTTTTTTATTAGCATATAATAATTGTACAGGGAGATACATGTGTCACTTATGTATGTGCTTACAACATATAGCTTAGATTCACTCCCTGCATGGTTCTTCCTTATCCTCCTTTCTCCCTTGGAACAATTTCTACAGGTTTTATTCTATTTTCATACATTCATACAAAATACATTCACCATATTTGCCCTCCTTCACTTTTTCCTTATGCTGTTAATGATTCTTAAAGTCGCATCTTTGTATTCAGTTTCTTTTCTAGGGTTTTGCCATAAAAGAATGAATGTTTAGTTTGGCATGAAATATATGCCTTAAAAAGGAAACTACATTTTATTATTACTACTTAAGAAGCTACACTGGTAATACATGTAAATTGACACTTAAGAATGCAGGGGATGCCAGTGCTGCCAAGGAAGATGACATGCTTTCTTTCCCCCTGGAATGAATTTGTTTAGAATTGTGCTTTTACAATGCTTCTTATTTAACAGGAAATTAGATTCCTTTTTCAGTGTCCTTATGTCACTAGACAGAGCTGCATTTAAACACAGATGACTTCAATTAGTACTTAGGTATATTTGAAAAGTTGGAGTTTTCAGAATTTATAAATGCTTCCTAAGTAGTTCTTACAAAAAAAAACCTGCAAAAACTATACCGAATTTCACTTTTTCAGGTTTCTTGATCTGTTCTGATTAGATTTCCCCCATTATTCCACTAAAACGCATCTGTTGAGATCATTAGTGACTTCCATGTTTCTAAATTCAAGTCATTTATCAGTTCTGTCTTTGATGAACAGTTCCAGTCAACAAAGTTCCTCCTCAAAACACTTTATTCCCTTGGTCTCTAGAGCACCATCCTTTGTTCCTTCTACAAAACTGACTTTTCAACTCAATCTCTTGCTGGCCATTTCATCTCCCTAAAGGGAATGATCCAAAGGAGAAACTGGACTTTTGCAGTATCTGCAATCTCTTCATTTAGTGTCATCTTCAAATACCATGCTTGGGATGGCCAAAGTAATTTATCAGGTCTTGTGAGTGTGTGTGTGTGTGTGTGTGTGTGTGTGTGTGTGTGTGTGTGTGTGTGTGCGTGTGTTTATCTACCTACCACTTTACCTGCTTCAACTTTAATGCTTCTAATATCTAATGCGTGTTAACTTTAACATGTCCATCTTAATTCCCCACATCCGCAAATATGCTGTACTCAGTCTGCAGTCATACCTATTAATAGGAACACCATCCTTTCAGTGATCAAAGCCAAATTCACACAGTCTTCATTCCTTCTTCACGCTCTAGTCAATGTATCTCTATATCTTGTTTGTTCTGTGTCTTAGTCTGTTTTGTACTGCTGTACTAGAATACCACAAACTGAATATACTCAACAGAAATTTATTAGTTCATGGTTCTGGAAGTCCAAAACTGAGAGCCTGGCATTGGGCAAGGGCCTTTTTTCTGTATTTTCTAATGGTGGAAGGGCAAGAGAGGGCAAGAAAGGAATGATAATGCTTTTGTAGCAAATCCACATGAGATAATTAGCCCAGTATACCATTAATCCATTAATGAGCACAGAGCCCCCATGATCTAATCATTAAGAGGCCCTACCTCTCTACACCTGTATTGAGGATTAAATGTTGAACAAACCAACCCTGGGGAACATACTCAAAGTATACCTAGAATATATATTTTCAACCTAATGCTTGCACTACCACCTTTACTGAAAACTATCATCATCTAACCTAGATTATTAAAATAACCTTTCAGTTGGTCTCCCTGTGTACAATATCTTCTCAGCATAACCAGAGTGCTCTTTAAGACATAAGTCAGAATATGACCTTCCTCTGCTTAATACCACCATTTTTCCATTTTTACTCAATAAATATAAAGTACTTAAAAAATCTTAACCCTACAAAATCTGCCATCTCACCCTGCCAGCAATAGCCATCTCATCCTTTTTTTCCAGTACTCTCCACTTTGCTCACACATTTCTGACAAGTAGACATTTATGATCTTCCATACATAAACATGTTTCTGCAGCATTTAAAAAATTTTTTTGGTGGTAGTGGGGTTTGAACTCAGGGCCTTGCATCTGCCAGGCAAGCTCTTCACCACCTGAGCCACACCTCCAGCATAAACATGTTCTGTATCCAGGGCTTTGCATTTACTCCCTTATTTGGAATTCTTGTTCCTAAAATTGACACTGCACTCTCGATTTTTTTCCAGTTTTTACTGTGTCGCCTTTAACCTTCTCCCTTCTCCCCTCCCTTACTCTACTTTCTTTTTGAAACAGTGTCTTTCAGGTTGGCCTGAAACTTGTGATCCTCTTGCCTTAACCTCCTAAGCGCTGAGATTATAGAGGTGCACTACTGTGGTTGGCCAATATCATTTTTTCAGTGAGGCCTATCTTGTCCAAGATTTCACACCCTACCTCACTTTTGTCACTTCTTATCTCCTTTCCCTTTATTTTTACTCCACTAAAACAAATTACAAAATATGTAATTAACTTGTTTGAAATATCTCCCCTCATTTAAAGGTAAACTCCATGAGGTTATGTATTTTTGTCTGTTTATTGAGGAGCCCTGGACATGTCAGATGGTGCGTAGCACCTAGGTAATGTTCAATAAATATTTGTTGAATAAAGTTCATCAAATGTCTAGAATGGAGTATCTAGTCTCAAGTGGTACAAATGATTCTGGACCAAGTACAGAGAATCTTAATTGGAGATGTGGAAGGCCCTCTGAGTTGTCCTACCTCACCATCACCTCTTCCCTCCAGCTGATAGTTTTTAAATGGATCTTTTTTATTTCCAAGTATTTATGTTCGCACTAAGAAGATCTCTTATCCTGGATTTTAAAGACTGTTCATTAAGAAAAAAATATCACAGCATTTCAATCAGGATGAGCATGAGTTTACAGATAAAGGCACAATAAAACCAAAAGGCCTACAATTTACTTTTTAAAAAGAAAAACAGAGCCAGGCACCAGTGGCTCATGCCTGTAACCCTAGCTACTTGGGAGGCTAAGGTTGGGAGGATTGTTCAAGGCCAGTCAAGGCAAACAATTTGTGAGACCTCCATCTCCAAAATCACCAGAGCAAAGTGGTAGAGCATCTGCTTTGCAAACACAAGCCCTGAGGTCAAATCCCAGTTTCACCAAGGGAAAAAAAAATTTCTTAGTGTTCACAATACCATAGTAGTTGTAAAAAAAGCTGTCTGTTTTTGCTCTTGTTTCCATTTTTTCTTTTCTTTCTACGTGTAAAAGCAACAGATATTCAAAAATTGAAGTAATTCATACAAGACATTTTTTATTGTTTATTCCATACAAGATATTTTTCACGTATTATAGAAGGCTTTTAGTGGTTTGAAGGGTATATAATCCTATA